TTTGCAAGCTGCACACAGGTCTCCATTTATGCAGTTTTTGAGAAGCCCCTGCAAACAGGGCAAAAGTGTTTGCCTCCATTTACCATGGTAGCTGGAATAAAGGTAAAGGTAAAGGGACCCCTGACCATTAGGTCCAGTCGTGACTGACTCTGGGGTTGCGGCGCTCATCTCGCTTTATTGGCTGAGGGAGCCGGCGATTGTCCGCAGACAGCTTGCGGGTCATGTGGCCAGCATGACTAAGCCGCTTCTGGCGAACCAGAGCAGCGCACGGAAACACCGTTTACCTTCCCGCTGGAGCGGTACCTATTTATCTACTTGCACTTTTCGTGCTTTCGAACTGCTAGGTTGGCAGGAGCAGGGACCGAGGAACGGGAGCTCACCCCGTCGCGGGGATTCGAACCGCCGACCTTCTGAGCGGCAAGTCCTAGGCTCTGTGGTTTAACCCACAGCGCCACCCGCGCCCCTATCATTTACCATAGTAGCTGGAATACTGAGGCACAATAGAATGCTTTTCCATACAGTTGAAAATCACGACTCGTGGGAAACTAGTTTGTCAATGAGAAAGATCTGCTAGTTTTGGTATAGACAGATTCTGCCACATGAGCCCCAACCTGCAGTCTGAAGTGGTAAATCTCAGGTGCTCACGACCTGCCTGAGAACTGGAGGTAACAAGTAGAACTTGGAACAAAATGTTGGAGTGTGGAGTGCCTCCTGTTCAGAGTGCCAGCCAGCCACTCTGCATTCTGTGGTCACTGAGCATGCTCAGCCTTTATTGGGCTGGGGTTCTGGGGTTCCCTCCTCTGCAAACCTTGGGGTTCCCCAGGGACGTGGACTTATAAAAAATATTGGGGGGGCCCGGGAAAGCTCATGAATAATAAATAAGCTCATGAATATGCAAATAAAGTGGCTCCGGCCCTAAATAGGGCAAGCCACGCCCCCCCAGCCAGCCGATTGGCTGGCTGGGAGGTGTGGCCAGTCGGGATTCCCCTGTTCTCGCGGGGGCTGAAACCGCCAGGAGGAAGGAAATTCCCCCCCGGCAGTGCCTTGGCAGTGGCGGTGGTGCTGCGAAGCAGCGAGGGAGGAGCCCCCGCCCCCGGGGATTCCCTAATCTCGCGGGGGACGGCCGGGGCTCTCCGACTAGGGCGCGCGGCTGGCTGGGGGTTCCCCAAGGCCTGCTGATGCCTCCTTCTTATCCTTCTTATCTGAGGATGGTACTGCTTTGGCTTCCAGCATTCAGAGAGAGAGAGAGAGAGAGAGAGAAAGAGGTCTGTCTGTCTGTATCTATCTATTATCTATCTATCTATCTATCTATCTATCTATCTATCTATCTATCTATCTATCATCTATCTATCTATCTATCATCTATCTATCTATCTATCTATCTATCTATCTATCATCTCTCATCTATCTTCTGAGTCTGGAAGATATCTCTACTGAGAAGGAGATATTCCATCTTCAGTATGTGCCCATTAAACAATTTGTGTAGAGTGTTTTAAGTACCTACATCTAATAACCTTGACAGTTGCTTCTACTACAGCTTCCCTTAAGGCCATTATATGCAGAGCATTTTGAAACTGAGCCTTTGAGGGCAAAGCAGGTGGAAAATCTGAACCAATTTTTCTAAGTATACTTAATGGGAAATAAGCTCTGTCATAACCATCCTGGACTTAACTTGCAATTAAATAGCCCTAGTTGCAAGAACAGGGTACATAGCAATGAAGAAAGAGACAATTTTGTCATTTAAAAATAGCAACAAAATGTTGCAGCTCCTGTTTGTGATTGCAAATTCCATTGTTGACTATGCACTGTGTGTAGAAGTACTTTATTTCGTTTGTCCTGAATCTCACACCTTTCAGCTTCGTTGAATGAACCTGGATTTTAATATTATGAGAGAGGCAGGAAAACATCTCTCTATCCATTTTCTCCACAACATGCATTATTCAAACAATATTTTCAAGTCCTGGTTTACAGTATTATTCCCCTCGTGGGCAATCAAATTTCACATTTTATTTTACAAAGTTTTCAGCTTAAGTGGTAATCCCAAACAAATTTGCAAGTGCCAAGATTTGTCCTAAGGAAAAACATTAATAAACAGTAGGTTTTTGGCAGCAAACCTATTAGCAGGGCAAGGATGAAAGAATTGTTGTGGCTTGGCTGTGAGCATTTGAATATTTTAATTTGCAAACTGTTTTTAAGTGAATGTATGTAACACATGTTTATGTCTAATGCTCAAAAGCAAACATGCCCATGATATTTCAAGCTACGTCGATCACAACCACCCATTTATTATAGTCGACAAACCAGAAATAAGACCACTATGGAAATAATAGCACAATATTCAACAGACTATAGGGAGTTGTCTTCAGGTGAGTCAGACCACTGGTCAATCTGATTTCATACTGTCTGCAACGACTGGCAGTGGCTCTCCAAAATTTGAAACGGGCATTTCCCAGCTATACCTCAAGATGTGATTTCACCCAGGGCCTTTTGCATGCAGAGCAAATGCTTTGCCACTGATTTACCTCTTAGTTTGCCATAGTTTATTTTTAGTCTAATGCAGGAATAGTCAACATGGTATCCTCCCAAAGTTGTCGTACTCTATCTCCCATCAGCCAGAACCAGTATGGCCAATGGGCAGGAATTATGGGAGCTGTAGTCCAACAATGCCAGGAGAGAACCACAATTCCTATTCCTAGTTTAATGTTTCTTTTAGTTGCAGATTAATGTGACTTGTGAACCGGACCATTATCTCAACAGTCCTTCCCATGTCCTTCTAAGTTAGAGGAACCTAGCAAGTTCATGCAAGAGGGAAAACATTGAACTGGGGACTGATTTTCTGGTTCACAGATCAGCCTCTTTGCCATGATGTCAGTAGGCCTTGCTTTGCTTACTTTACAGGCTGAAAAGTTTTTTTTAAAAACATGGCCTCAGGAGCACAGAATAAAAGAGCAAATCACCTCTCAGCAGAACAGTATGCAACCAGTTTGATGCTCTTTTGAGGTGCAAAAATATTTGAACCCTTGGAAGCCAGCAACCTTACATGTTGAACAATTGGAATTTTGCTGCCAGCTCCCTGCCCCCCACTCCCAAATTCCCATGTTTGATGGGAAAACTGCTTTTGCTAGATTAACACTGGCAGTTCCTGGGGACTTTAATAGAAATAACAAGGCGAAAAGGTGAGCTGATTAAAATGTCACAACTCTGTCACTGCCAGACCTCGCAAAGACAGCAGGCCCTTGCTGCTATATTCCTGGCTCTAATCAGGCTCTAATAGGGCACCATGCCGGAACAGGCTATTCAACTACAGCAGCTTAAAAAAAACACACCTTCCTCTAAATCTGCAAAAAGTGATCATATATTGTGAATCCATCTCAACCTTTTAAAAAACTCAGTAGTGGTTTGTGCTTTATGGTCTTTCCATCTCCAAACCTTGCAATGTTGATCTTATGAATATCTCAACATGCCAAGAGGGACATCATAGTCTCCAACTGTCCCAGAAATGCCAGAAATGTCACGAAAACGCTTAAGCTATCACGGTTTCTCACTTTCTCATGCCGAGTCCTGAATTCCCATCTTTGTTGAGGTATGCTAACTGGAAATGGCTTCATATTTGGAGGAAGCAGGGGGGAAGAGAGAGTTGCTGGCTGAGGCTGCCTTCCTTTGCTCCTCCACCTCCTCCTCCTCCACCTCATTTGCTACCAAAGACTCTTGCGCTGTGTCCGAGGGAGCCCGGCTGGTGGAATAGTAGTAGTAGTTGTAGCAGGAAGAGGAGAAGGGGGAGCAAGGCACTGGGGATGCCAGCACCACTGTCCCCACTGACTGTGATTCCCTGGCCTGGCGAGCCCCCAGCCACCCATCCAGCTGGCCATGCTGAATAAAAACGAGGAGAAAGTGAGCCAGGTCAGGCCTGAAGAGAAGGCAGCAGCCTGAGGAAATCCTGAGCAGAAGGCCCTGGGGGTGAAGGAGAAGGATATGGCTGGCAGGATGCAGGCAGGCCTGTGGGGGGGCTGTAGTTTGAGGGATGTGGGGGCCAAGGTTATGGGGGTCAAGGGTGGGTGCTGAAGCTAGCTGGGCTTCGAGGGGGGGTTGTCTGTATCATGAAAAAATCTTAACATGCAGAAAAAGCCCCCCACCTCCAGGAGTGATACCGATGTAGAAAAGAATGTCCCTATTTTCATCTGAGGAAGGTAGGTGGATATGTTTGCTGATGTGTGCTGAAGATTCTCAATTTTGGAACTGGGTTTGGCACCCAAGAAGAGAACTGCAGGATCAGGCCTATGGCCCATCTAATCCAGAAGGCTGTATTCACAGGGGCCAACCAGGGGCCAATGGGAAGCCCACAAGTAGGGCATGAGCACAGCAGAATCACTCCCCACTTCTGATTCCTAGCAACTGGTATTCAGACAGACTGCCTCCAACAGTGGAGGTAGGAGATAGCCATTTTCTAATAATCCAAGTTGGTGGCCATCACTACTTTTTTTTGGGGGGGGGACCAAATCAAGATTAAGAATTATGTGGATGCCTTTCATAAGAGGATTTCAAGAAGTCACCCAACTTGCAATGGACCAGTCCTAGCGGTAGCTGAGAGACATAGAACTGATGGACATGCCTTTTCCTAACTTGTAAGTCCACTTCCTGGCTATAAATAGTGAGTCCCTCATTCTGCACACGCCTTGCCTGACAGCGCTGTGACACCAGTTCTTACACTAGGGTTGCCTCCCTCCCCTTCTATGCAACTGTGTATTTAATAAGGTACGATCACTCTCTGAATTCCTGAACCTTGCACTTTTTGATACATGTTGAAATCTGCTCACAGGAAGGTCTCAAGTCCTCAGGAGCCTGAACATGGGCCACATGCATGGCCAAAATGGCAGGACACCAGAATCTTTGGTCATTAACAGCCCACCCCTCCATTCTCAATGAGAAAGGGGGGTGGTGTACATCAGAACCTGTTTGAGAAGTTTCAGATGAGGCTGAAAGAAATTTGTGCAAGAGAAAGATTTCAAAGGTATAAAATAAATTTATTTGCTTTATGAATGCAGGCAATGCCCCTTAGAGTACTATTAAGCTTGATCATTCACAGAACAGTCCAAGGATGTGCACTGGTTTAAAGACTGCAGCCAGAGTTCAGTGCTTTCTATGCACATTGTCATATGTCAGATTGAGGCGTCAAGTCAGCTGGGCAACTCCTCATCATGCACAAGAACAGGGAAGCGTTCACCTCCTTCACACAGCAAGGTGTAAATGGCACGGCACAGTGATGCTCTGGAGCTTTCCTGAATACGTCCAGGTTCTAGAAGAGGGAGGAGTTCAGCTTCCATGGCCTGGGAACAAGACAACCTGTTAGTGGGGCGGGAAAGTATCTCCAACACAGACCATTCAGAAGTTGAAGAGTGCAGGTGATATACTGAATCAGGGAAGCAAGTAAGAGTTGTACAATTGTCCCTTGACTGCCTTTTCCAGATCTCAGTAAATGGCTGCTAATATGCAGGGGGAGGCAGCTGTGCTTGCTTGTGGTGCTTTCTGCATTGTGAACCAGAAAACCCACAAAGCAGAGTCCCTCAAGCAACCTGCAATGTTGAAAAAAGAAAAAAGCCACTAATCAGAGTCAGCATAGCATCAGGATGGTGCAATGAGGCTCATTTGGACAGCCAGTGAACCCTAATGCTAAAGGAGGTATAACCTCAGGGGCAGCTACAGACCGAAGCTGGGGAAAAGAGAACAGATGAAAAACCAAGTGAATGGTTGGCTAAAACGTGGCACTTTGCTCCTACGGTAAACTTAATGCATTATATTAGAATGATACCCCACTCCGGAACTCATACTATCAATAAATTAGCACAATTGGTTCAAGCTCAATAGAAAAGCTTTCTACAGCTACCATTAAGTAAAAACTGAGTTTTCATCTGGCCAGTTTCCAGTTGTGAGAGCATATTACCTAGCTGCCTTCTATTTTATCCACTCGCTTTTAGTTCTATGCAGCAGGATAGCCAATTAATCTCTCTGAATATAAAACAGCCAGATTTAGGAACACAGGAAGCTACTTCATACAGTCAGACCGTTGCTTCATCTGGCTCGCTATACTGCCTACACTGGCTGGCAGCAGCTCTCCAGGGTTTCAGCCCTACCTGAAGATATAGGGAATTTGAACCTGGGACCCTGTACATGTAAAACAGATGTTCTACTACTGAGCTACAGCCCTTAGATCTTTTTTGTATTATTATTTAAACAATTTATATACTGCTTAGTCTCTAGATACAATACAAGCAGTAAAAATCAGTTAAAACTATAAAATCAAACTTCAATTAAAATGCCTGCCAGAATAAATGAAAAAAGCATTTAGTAGGTGCTGGGCATTCAGCAGGGAAGGTGCCTGCCTGACTTCAACTGAAAGGGAGTTCCATAAACTTGGGTCTGCAACACTAAACACAAAGTTCCTGGTGCACCCAAGCCATGGGGGACCACTAACATTGACTCCCCCAAGACCTCAATCACCTTATTATTATTTTTATTAAATGTTTTGTTTATCTTAAGCATACATCTTAGGACTTACACCCCACCAGCTGAACCTGACCAGGATGTCTGAACAAAGTGAGCAAAGAGCTTGGACCCCAACACCATAAAAGGCAGCCTTACTGCCAAGTTACCTTCTGTATCTCAAGTTGCTGGCGCAGCATTGCCACCTTCAGTCTCAAGGCTTCCATCTCCTTCAGCTCCTCCAAGCTGGAGTAAGAAAGCAGCAGAGGTGGCCCAACAGTTTCTACATCCCAGCACCTCTGGCTTCCAGGGGAGGCACACCATGCAGAGGAGCATCTGTCGCTGCAAGCGGAGTTAGCAGGGAACAGCTTCGAATGGGACTCCATAGCTGTCAGGGGATAGCAAAGCACCAAAGTGAGGAGACCAAGAGGGAAGTGATAGCACTCTGCCAATACCTGAAGGGCTAGAACACAGAAGAGGGCAAAGTGTTGTTCTCGGCTGACCCAAAAGGTAGGACGATCAGGCATAGGCAAACTCAGCCCTCCAAGTGTTTTGGGACTACAACTCCCATCATCCCTAGCTAACAGAACCAGTGGTCAGGGATGATGGGAGTTGTAATCCCAAAACATCTGGAGGGCCGAGTTTGCCTAAGCCTGGACTAGATCTCTAATGGGCTCAAGTTAAACTATGGAATGTGCTCCTACAGAAGGCATAATGCTTCTAACCAGTTGCTGGAAACCACAGGATGGGTTGTGCTCTGGTTCCGCTTGCAGGTTTCCCGCAGGCATTTGGGTGGCCACTGAGAGAACAGGATGCTGGACAAGATGGGCCACTGGCCTAATCCAGCAGGCTCTTCTTAGGTTCATAAGGCAAGATTTGAACTGAAACATATTATTGTTCAAAGCAGATTGACAGTGGAACCAATCTATTAGAGGGCTAGCAGGCTCTCCCTTGCTCAAGGTCTCCAGGCAGATGCCTGCTGGGGATACTCTTGATCTCCTGCATTAAGCAGGGAGTTGAACCAGATGGCATAAAAGACACCTTGCAACTCCATGGTTCTATAATAAACCTTTTGTTTGCAACACAATTTGCTTACTGTATCTGCGTAAGAAAACAAGCCACGCATTGCTAGGAACTGAGCAATTAGTTACAGGGTAAGGCTGATCTGTTTGTTTTTGCTGAGAAAGCTGCAGTGCCATGGAAGGCAGCCAAGCAGGATTATGACAAAATGTCCTAACCCTACATGGCCCACGCCTAGGTGGAGACCTGGAACGAGGGCTGAATTTTCAACCATCCAGGGTAAGCATGCAGAATGAGTGTGTGGTATTGCAGCTCCCAAATCTGATGTTATCTATCTGTAATTGGTTATATCTATACATCATTTTTTAAAAAACAACAACACAATGTTATTATGTCATATCCTTCACCTTCTCTCAACTGGTGCACCTTTGTCCAGACACTGGCCCACTATCGTTTGCAGGCCCTCCAGAGTCAGAAGATTTTCGTACTGTCTCTGCCAAGTTGGGTTTTCTCCAAGAGACTCTAAGAGGAATAAGAGAGTTAAGAGGCTTCAGGTCTCACAGAATCACTTGGGAGAAGGCAGCCTCAAGTCTAGCACCTCAGAGAAGTTGCAAGTGCGGGGGTCCCACAAATAAAGAAATGGAAGCTATGTTCTGACAGCTACCGTTCATTAGGATTTTTAAGTGCACACTCAAAAATGAAACATTGGTGAGATATACTGTGTTCCAAACTACATGCATCATACGGACTAGAAGCAAAATAGAGAATTTGGGGTGGTGGTGCACACCAGACCATAGCTTCTTGCCAATGTAATCTGCGGAGCAAATAATCTGTTCACAGCTGTGGGTATGGATATCTCCACCACAATTTTTTGAGACTGAAATTACATTCCCAAAGCATTTTAGCTACCTTCATCACCTTTCTTACCTGAGGTCTCAGCTTCCATGCACTGGCTGACATGGGAGTGAATGTCACGTAGGTGCTTAAATTCTTCTTTCACTTCAACTGGACTTAAGGCTAGTGAAGGCAAGCAGAACTGACCATAAGCTTAAGTCAATAAGGCTTAGTGGAGACAGTGGACATAAAGGCTTTTAGGGTCACCATCCTACTGGCTAGATTGCCAGATTTATGGCAAGGTCAAATGTTTCAGGGCCAAAACTGGCCTTGCATTTAGCAACATTCCTGGAAACAAGGAATTCCACACAGGTGCATTCACCAAGTTCTGTGCAGGTAGAAAGTGGGCTGGGAGAAGAGGGACTGGATCTTCACACCTTTTCAAACTTTTATTCAAAGCTATTTTTATCCAAAAATACAGAACAGGCATGATATTTATAGTTTAACTTTCTTTCCTTCATGTTATCTGCTATATTGTTTATAAAAAAAATTTATATACTGCTATTCATTAAAAAATCAGAGCAGTTTACAACAATTAAATATAAAACCGTACAATGGCAAAAATTAACATTAAAATTAAAAACCAGCTATTATGGAAAGATGCATTCTTAACTGTGTGCTGACAGAACAGAAAACTTTCCAGCAGGTGTTTAAAAGCTGAAACTGAAGGCCATATTAAAAAAAAACAACTACTACTGAAAAATACTGACATTTTTCAAATGAGAATATGCAAAAGGAAGAAACAGAATGGACTCCCCCACCAAAGGTCTTGGATGTGCCCAAAAGCCTCTTTCCACATAGGCTATTTTATGCACTCATCAAGCCACAGCTGCAGACCTGAGGTCCTTCTAATACTGCTAGACTCCCATCAACTCTGGTGGTTGGCCATGCTAGTTGGGACCGCTGGACGTTGGCGTCCCGACAACATCTGGAAGGCCACAGCTGCCCCTGCCCCCCCCCATTATAAAGCCAAAGCCAGAAAAGGATACTGTTGCTTGTAGTTTCTCCATAAAACTATTCCTTGCAGCAACAGCTTCTGGGCTTGTTTTGCAAAGACGGCATTTCTCTCCCAGCCTAGGCATTTATAAAGGAGGGGAACACGCAGTTAGCAAGAGTTGGGCTTAGCCTGAAATTCACACCTCACTCATTACAGTTCTTCCTGAAGCAGGGCCAATCGTATTTCTGTCAACTATACTTATTTGCTTACACTGCAGGATCCCAAAACACTGAGTGTATCAACAGACCTTTGTCACCGAAACTCAAAAACGATCTAAGGAAGAAGGAAGGATTGTGTATAATGCTATTGGAAAAGTAATCAAATTTAGGATATTTGGTCCATCTATAGGCAAGGATGAGAACAACTTGTCCTAAATTGCTGGATGGACTTATTGCACCTTCTCAGATAGCTAAAGCCACAGAAGGGCATCTGCTTACTTGAGAGATACAAGCCTTGTTTCCAGTAGTGCACAGTAGGCTTCCACTGGAGTAATCCAGACCATCATCAACAATGAGAAAGCACAGCAGAACAGATACCCTTGTCTGATGTCCAAGCCATACAGAAATACATGGCAATGACTGCAGAATATGGTCTTCATTGCAAAATCTGCTAGCAGTTGCAGAATTCGGAGAATCACACTTTAAATTGGTGGAAAGTATTCTCTACCAGGTTAGACTCTTTAGATTAGACTCAGTGGAACAATGGATTTATATTTTCTTAGCATGTGGCAGATATTATTCTGCCTGTTCCAAATTAAAGTTGTTGTTGGCATTTAGATCCCAGACGTTTGTTAGACACTAGTGACTGATGCTTTTCAAGCTGCAAGAATGAGAAAATATTTGGCTCCTAATACGTATTTTGACTCCTAACACATACGCATTTTATTTGTGTGTCTATTTTACTTTGAAACTTGAAAACCACATGTGGTTTCAGTTAAACAGCAGGACAAAACTATGTCATCCAAATCTACAATTTGATAGAACCTCCTGCCAACACAGATTGATGCCATTTGTTTTAGTTTCTGTTAAAAACATGATAGTATATATTATACATAGGATATGACAGATGCAGCTATAGAGATGTATTAATTATTTTTCTTTTGACTCTGGACTCAGCTACATTGGCAAAGAAAAAGTGCCTTATATGCGTTGTTTGTGCATTCTAATACTTTGACACCAGATGGCGCTGTAGAGTTCCGTTTTTGCTAACTAGATTTCTCATACAGTACAAAGTTTGCAACATGTTTAACTGAAACACTTCTTTGATGTGTCTAGATCCAGCCCTAGTCACTCCATTAACTCTAGCTCGGGATGCATTCAGACAACCAGCAGCCATACAGTAATGACATAAAATGTAATACAGTGGTACCTCTGGATGCAAACAGGATCCATACTGGAGCCCTGTTCGCATCCTCAAGCAAACGTTACCCGCGTCTGCGTGGGTCGCAATTCGCCGCTTCTGCGCATGTGCGTGACGTCATTTTGAGCGTCTGCACATGCGGCAAAACCCGGAAGTAACGCGCTCTGTTACTTCCAGGTCGCCGTGGAGCACAACCTGAAAATATTCATCCTGAAGCTACTTCAACCCAAGGTATGACTGTAGTAGTATTACATCAGAAGACAATCACGTGTGGTCTCTGATCACATATTCCCATTTCTTTGCAGCTGTTCAGATGTCAAAGGTAATGAAAGATACACTGAACAGTGTTAAAACTGCATATACAGGTCATATCCACATGTAAATTTAAAACGCATGGCTTCTCCCAAAGAATCCTGGGAACTGTAGCTTTTAAGGGTGTTGGAAACTGTAACTATGTGGGGGGTTAACTACAATTCCCATGATTATTTGGGGAAAGTAATGTGCTTTAAATCCACTTAGGTGCATTGTGTGGATGTGACCACAAAGAACTACTTTCCTCACAGAGTTATAGATGGTGTCACATGATAAGCTTTTAACCCAGGTTTGTAAACAGCAACTCTCTTGGTCACCTATAGCCTCCAAGAATCACTGACTGGCATTAAACCAGAAGAGACTGATTATTTCCAAGAGGGAAACAGCATAATCCATGTCTAAAAGAAACAGGATAACAGTACATCATTTATACCAGGCTTCCTCAACCTCGGCCCTTCAGATGTTTTGAGACTACAATTCCCATCATCCCTGACCACTGGTCCTGCTAGCTAGGGATCATGGGAGTTGTAGGCCAAAAACATCTGGAGGGCCAAGGTCAGGGTGTTGGTGTGGGGGAGGTTCTATCATTCATCAGCCTAAAGAAACCCATGTTTATCCAAACTAGCATTAGGTAAGGTACATGCTTTACATGCATAAGGTCCCATATTCAATTCTTGACCAACTCCAGTTGGAAACAACAGGAACCAGGTGATGGGTACCACCTCTGCCCAAGACTGTGCCAAAAAGTTGCTGACAGTTTGAGCAGACAATGCTGGCCAGAGGGAACAACCATTATCACCTTCACCCCCATGGGTCAAGTCTGACTGATGGGCGAAGACCCCCATGTCACAGTGACCTCAGGAAACCCTTGCAGGCCTCCTTTTTGTCTGAGCCAGCTTTTTGTCTGCCCCACACCAGCTTACAATGGGCATGTCCTGGCCAAAATGGCCTTGTGGGCCAAATGAGGCCCACAGGTCTAATTAGACCATTGCCTGCAGGTCCCCTGCTCTTGAGCTAGAGGGACGTATAATCTGACCTGGTATCAGACAGCTTCCTATACCCATTCTGCAGAAGGCAAACAAAGGCCATGAGAATAAAAGGCTACTAAGTACACCCATGGCTATATGAAAAGTTGACTTAAGGTCTCTAAAACCAACCCATCTAGACAACACAGATTGGTGCCACCCCCGTGGATGTGCCAGAAGACAGACTACAGAACACTTCTTCAATCCCAGTTCCATTTTGCAAATTACTAATAACCTCGCCCATCCTACCATAAAGGCTTAGATTCCTCCCTCAAATTTCCCCCATCCATTTGCAGGGAATGAGTTTTTGATTAGCATAAGGTTACCTGGTATACCTGGAAAAGGCTTTCCCATAAGGGTGTGGCAGTTTTATCAAAGATCTGTAAAAAAAAAATAATGGAACTGCATTATAATACTTAGCACACACATATTCAAAATCTGGATACATGTTTTCATTTCCTTATCTTTAATTTCAGATATCAAAGAGCAAGTTACTAGCTGTATGGACACCAGCTGTCCTTCCATAACCCAGGCATTGCCAATTCCAACCCATCCCACAAGCATTTCTTTTGTATTGCCACTTATTAAACTAGTTCAGGTCAAGGACATTTAGCCAGAACCACTGTCTTTACAAATAGCTCAGAAATTTCAACAGGCCCAAAATGTGTTTGATGGAGAAGGAAACAAGAAGCAGCAAGTTAAGCCAGCTATAGGCTTAACTCCTGGAAACTTACCCCTTTTCCTGTAGAGTAGATATCTGGGATGTTGTGTCTGCCCCTGGGGTGCCTTCTTCCGTATGGCTCTGTGTGGCTACAGACTCTGGAGCAGGACCAACAAAATTATGCTCTGCTTCAGAAAAAGGCACATCAGTACCTGCAATGTCTCCCCCACCCACAAGGTCCCCAAATGAAGGGTTTAGCTTTGCACAATGTGAAGATTTAGAAAATTCATGTTGTGTTCTGGGTTCTTCAGTGGCAAAGACCTTTTCATGACCCATTTGGGTTATTTTTGCAGACAACATGGCTTTGGGGGAGGCAGCCCCTTTGGCTGACTTCTTCTTCCCTGGCATCTTTGAAGTTCTGGAGCTCAGTCTGCCTGACATTTTCACTTGTGACCTTTTCACATCTAAGTCAGTCCTGTAGGGAGCTTTCAGCATGTATGCTGTAGGCTTTTTGGAAGGCACTGGCTTTCTGTTCACAGATTGCACTTTTACTGTCTTCGAGATGCTCTCCTTAGAATGATCCACTTGCTGTTTTACATCAGCACTACCAACAGCCTTCTTTTCTGCAGCTTTGGCACTTTCTATAAGCTCACATGGAGCCTGCTGGAACTTTGCTCGGATCCTTAATGCTTTCTCCAGGGCTTTGTTAAGCAGCTCCAGTTCCTCGAGTTCCTTGGCTGAGGGTTCACTTCCTACAAATGAAAGAGTTAATATATTAATTGAGGTCTTTCAGTGCTGTCTCGCTCTGATCCAAATCACAAACTAGTAGAATTGTAGAGTTGGATAGGGTCATCTAATAATCCAATCCCCCTGCAATGATGCAGATATTTTTTAAAGCACAACGTCATTTATGGACAATGAGATATGTTATGTTTTCCACACCACCTCCTCATAGTGAAATTTCTCATTAACCAGATAGCTTAAACTTTATTTGAATGTGCCTACCATGAAGACACGAGTATGTTGACTGTCTCAAGATAATGCTGCAAAAGGTTATGGTAGAACCAGACCACAATTAACAAAAATGCAAGTCTATGGCATATTCCAAATGATTGGATGCAGAATTTTGAGCCTGCAGTGCAAAGAAGCCTAGTTTTATGTATCATGAGAGTTATCGGATTTGATCTTACCCAAGTATGCACAGAAACTGCCACAGCCAAGTTTAAGATGTAAAGCCTTACTAGGAAAAAAATATTATTAGAATAAGAGAATAATAAAATTGTAGAGTTGGAAGGGACTTTAAATAAAATCTGCACTGAAATGCTTTGGACTTTTTAAAACTGTTTTATAAATTTCATATTTTGCTTCTTTCCCCACTTTCTCTCTCTCTCTCTCCACTCCACCCCTTTACCAGTGCAAAACACATTGAATACCAGTGTGATTCCACAATGAAGTGGCTCTAAGTCTGAAGACACAGACAAAAGTAGCTAGCATGTAGGCAAAGGAAAGAGAGAACACTTAACTGAAGACAGAGGCTGGGAAAGAACTGTTGTTCCCATACCTTGATTATCATTTTTGCCATCATCAAGGACTGGGTATTCAGGAGCTTGTGAGTTCCTAGCAGAAAGGAAACACAGAGCAAGCATTCAGCAAGAAACAGGTATGGCCAATAATTCTTCCACAGCTGTCATCCTTTCAAACAGCACACAAGAGAGCTATTGTCATTAATAACAATATTCTTTGCCCAGACAACCTGAGGAAATAACAAGGTTCTTAGCTTTTAACTTAAAAAATAATAATCTGTATGGACGCATCTCTTCTGCTTGGTAATAAGGAGAGATGGAAAAACTGAGAATTAACTAACACAGTTGTTTTGTTATTGTTGTTGTTTTTTACTAACACAGTTTGCTTCCTCCTCACTTAAAAAAACACCACAATTCTCTGAAACTTTAGGATAGGACTGGCACATATTCCTCTTTCCCCACCTCCAGCTTACCAGTCTCCAAGAATAGCTTGGCATTGTGTTAGTTTCTGCTGCAGTCGCTGCTTTTGTTCAGCGCAGTCTTCCAAGGCTTGGGTGAGTAGAGAAACCAGTCTAAAATGGCAAATGGTACAACGAGAAAATGTTGCTATTTAACTTGGAAACAATATGATCAACATTCTTTAAATTGGCCTGTTCTCTAGGAAAACACATGGAGAGATAAGGAAGCATTTGACAGCCCCATACAAAATTTGACATTAAATTATGGATGTGTATATGGAATTTCTAGGCATCCCTCACAAGCAGGCTTGTAATCCAAGACTCGACTCATTTTAGAAACGAAACACTGGGTACCGCTGCACCATGAGCTGAGACACTACTTCCCTCAGTTGTTGAAGGGGCTCGGCTTTTACCCTACAAATAAGTCCTGGGGTTGGACCCGCCACCCCGTCCCAAGGCCGGCGGGGGGCGGGGCTCCCTTCCTCCGGAATTTAAACTTAGATAGTAAACGCGCCGGGACAGGAGGAGCCTCTCCAATTCTACTCCATAAACCGCAGGCACGCTGATGTAACTGCAATAACTACTACTACTACTACTATTACTATTACTACAATATCACCTGTGGGCACAGTCTGCGGGCAGCATGAGGAAAGCCAGGGAAGGTCCGCAAACTGGCAATTAAAGCAAGCAGCAGCAGCAGCGGCGGCGGCGGCAGTAAAGCCCCTCGCTCCCAGCCAAAGAAGCACAAGCCCAACTACACACTTTACCCACTTCCTGCACCCTTTGGGGCACTTCCGGTCTCACGCTGAACTGCTTTTTCCAACCTAACGTCCAACGCGCAGGATGGAGAGTTTTCACTATAGAGTTGCCAAAGGACAGAGCGAAACGTACATCTATTCCGCGGCCATAGTTTATCCATAAAGAGAGAAATGGACCTCACTATATCTTTTTGTAGGCAATTTTAATTTTGTATGATTTTAAAAAAAACTTTTAAAATTACTACTCTCCATCTTAACTAGCCATTTCTTAATATCTAACGTTCCCTGCTATATCTTTCTATCTCTATAGTCTGGGTGTCTGACAGGCCCGCGCTGCCGGGTCCTGTCAGGTTTGTTGTGAAACACCTCGGCGGAACCGTAGCTACTGTAATCTCCGAGCAATCCCCGCAGCTTCCTTTGACAACTATGGATTATTATTTTTTCCCGCTTCCGGTTTTAGCGCCGTCTTCTCTACCACCATCCTGATGTTTTGTATATATTTTTTTGTTATTGATGAATTTATTTCACCCCTGTCAAGACCTGCCCGATCAGCGGCAGCAAGCCCTTGACAACGGTTGCCATGTGGAAGACGCTTGGGCCTGGGGCATTGATTTAGGCTCTAGTTACCCCATCTTAACACGCCGTGTCCGGCCACGCAGTGAGCGAGATTGCAACGTGACTCCACCCCCCCCCGCCTCCTTCTCTTCACTTCTTAACGTTATTCTCGGCTGCAGAAAGGCACACTCTGATTCTGCCGCCAGACATGTCGGGATTTGTTTCATCCAGCTATGCATAAGGCAGATAACGTTGCTCTGCAGACCCTTCCCTGCTCCAGGGGTGGGCCGAAATCACATTGTCATGGTACTCAATACAACCCCACTATGAGGAAAGGTTGCAGCATTTGGGACTTTTTAGTTTAGGGATAAGGCAGCTAAGAGGTGACATGACAGAAGAGTATAGTGGTACCTCGGGTTACAGACATTTCAGGTTACTGACGCTTCAGGTTACAGACTCCCCTAACCCAGAAATAGTACCTCGGGTTAAGAACTTTTCTTCAGGATGAGAACAGAAAATGTGTGGCAGCAGCAGGAGGCCCCATTAGCTAAAGTAGTACCTCAGGTTAAGAACAGTTTCAGGTTGAGAACAGATCTCCGGAACGAATTAAGTTCTTAACCCAAGGTACCACTGTATGTATAAAATTATGCATTGCTTGGAGACTGACTCATTTTAGGGAAACTTTGTATGTTGCTACTTATGGTAAATGAAACAAACTTAATTAGGTTCATTTGCACAGTACACTTTAAAGTCACAAGTAAAAAGTTTGCAAAATCTGTTTGCTTGGGAGGAGGGCATGCTTCCACATATTAATGGCCTTGGTTTCAGTACGTAATCTACTTCTGTGGTGAGTAAGGGACCTTTTCAGGCAAAAAGGATTCCATTGGGAGAAGATCTAAAATAGTGAGATGTGTTGACAGGGTACATTTCTAAATCCATCTGCCTTGGTTTCAGCCACATGGCATACATAACATATTGTTGCATGCCACCCCAGTCTCTGAGCGGTGTGAGATTTCCAGGGTCTGGTTTCCTTAGAATGAGGGACAGTGGAGACTGTGGTGTATTTAAGATATATGGTTCATTTACACACATATATAATCAGAGTCTGGGGTGTTAACACCCCAGAAGGTCTTGCTTCTCTCAGTCACAGCCTTGGAATCAAATAGAAATCAAGCACAGCCCTAATTGTCTAAACAAACAAACAAACAAACAAACAGTCTGGCTTCTGCCTTCTTCTTGCTTCCAGCTCACACATCCCACTTTCTTTTTCTTTCTCACTACCAGCCAAGTGAGAGAGGCTGTCCACTTATTTGTCCTCTGGTACAGAGCAACTTTGTTATATCTAACATCAGTACTTAGGTGGTACTTTTCTCACAAAGGAACTTGCTTGGCTCAGCTTTTATCTTTGTAAATAAAATCAAATGCTACAAAATTCCTTAAGCCTCCAGCGAACTTCCAAAAGAAACTAAGCCAAGTGAGATAAGCTCTACACCTCTGGACTTTTCACTGTTCAGACAAATGTGGGGAGCATAACAATACCTTATGTACAGATGGTATAGAGAGGAACACTTTAAGACTAACTGACACCATTAAGCCCAGTTTGAACTGAGTCTGATTTCTACACAAAACTGCACAAGTCTCAGTCATGTACATTTTGAAATATATTGAATAAAAATTATTTGGGGTTCCCTATAACCTAAAAAAAATCCTACAATCCTACATTCTTTAATAGATTAATTATTTTAATGGTAGGAAAACAAATATCTTATCAGAGAGGCATTATGAATTATTTAACAAATAGAGAGAGAAGTCCCCAAAATTGGTACAAGGATTCTGCAGAATGAAATGTAATATATGACTAGTTTCTCTGAAGCTGCTTATAGAGTAGTAATGATAAAATCACCCAGGAGAGGGCCAACTTCTGCTATGATCTTAATGCTGAATTGCATTCTGAATGCCAATTACGGTACGTTTAAGTATGGTATGGGTAATATGTTGCTACTTAATATTCCTAGGTACTTGAGTCATTCATAATTTTATTAGAAACACATTCCTCTTAGCTGGCAAATGGATCCATAACCTGACCTTACTTAGGTTAGGGTAATAGTGCAATCTTAGGCATGTTTGCTCAGAATTAAGTCCTACTGAATTCAGTGGGACTTAGTCCCAGCAAGTGTGTATAGGACTGCAGCATAACAGTCTTAAATAATAATAACAACATAATAATAATAATGTATTGCTTTACTTTTCCCAAATAGTGAATTGACAGCTATTCATCTTATGTAGCAGAACATAAAGAGGTAACTCTGGGATTGGGAACACTTGCATTCTGCATTATGCAGAAATGCCCTGAAACTTATTTGAATACATCCTGCATTTGCATTGCAAATATCTGCCTGTAAATGCAAGAAAATGTGACAAAATGTTGTTAAGAGTTTGGGAGAGAGGCAGACTCTCCATAATGTCTTAATTCAGTAAAGAGCTATAATGCGAGCAAACGCATAAATTAAGCAAAGGTTGATTATTTAAAACTGAGCCAAGCACTGTTGCTTTCAGTTTAGGATCACAAGCCCAGGCAGCTTCACATACCTAGCTGGGGATAAGCCAGCCTGTTAACATGACAAAAGGTGTTGATGACCCATATCAAAGTAGGTATTTGGGCTTGGGCAGACAGAGTTTACCAAGGTGACAGGTGTGTGAGAGAGGTGACAGGAAGGAATGTTCTTTACAGGAGGTTTGGGTTCTTTAGCAAGGTGTGCTGGGAAGAAGAAAGGGGGACAGAGGAGTCTTCCATGAGCTGCTGGAAAGGCCAGAACTCCATGCAGGGCTGGATGACCAGAACCATCTTGGCAGGCTTGCTGAAACAGGCTGGGAGAGATGCCTTGGACTCCAGTGCTGCACTGAGATGACCATGCTGTAAGATCTGGATTCCATCCATCTAAACTCAGGTGTAAATATTTGAAAAAAATCATATTTTTTAAAGCTCCACCACATCTTGATTCAAAATGGCCTCCACCACATCTTGATTCTCAAAGAAACACAAACCTTGGGTGAGCGCCTGTAACCTCCTGGAATCTTGCTACAGCTCAGCAGAGATTAGGAGTGACGTCCAACCTTGGCAGCAATATATTCTCACAGTAAACAATGAGCTGTCACTGAGGCTGATCTCCCTTCGCTCAGATTACTGTATGTCTGCAGGCACCTTGTGCGAGAAGAGTAAAAAGTCTTCAGGAGGATAAAAATGTTCTCTAGAGTCCTCCTGCAGAAGTTCATCAATGTCATTTTATTCAAAATTTTGGTTGTAAAGACTGAAAGCCCAGGAGCTACTGAGCTGGATGCTAAGCAACACAGAGACCATGGCAACAGTTCCTGTTTCCTTGTGCCACTCATTGATAAAATTCAGGTTACGGTAGCTTAAGCACAAATTCTGAAAGGCAAACTTAATATTACAACCAGGCAATATTACAAGATAACATTGATTTATGATGTGTCTACACATAAGACTATACTGCGTGCAGTGTAATCAAAGAGAAAACTACCAGGAGACTGAGAGCATGGAACTATCTGCATATAGTTATTTGCAGAAACAGTCAGTGATGTATTTCTGCAATGGCAAAACTAGCCAGAATTTGAGACAGATAACCATTCTGTTTTCTTATTTTTTAATTTTATTATTTATACTCTGCCCATCTGGCTGGGTTTCCCCAGCCACTCTGGGGAATGTCATGTTAGGTACTGGGGCACTTTTTTTATTACATCATGAACTTTCATAGGCAAGAACTTAATTTGTCAGATGTGTGCCAATATCCCTTTGAGGGTTTTGAGTCGATCCAATTTAAATATCTGTAACTGAAGGGATATTTATGGCTAAGGTGGTTGGATGAAAAAAAAAGAACGAGCTTGTAAAATAAGGAATTTCAGAAGATGTAGCGAATACATGGCTATGATGTATTACTTCCAATATCAGAGACAGCGTGCTTCTGAATACCAGTTACTTGGAATTGCAAGCAGGAAAATGCAGGTGCACTCATGTCCTGGTTATATGCTTTGCAGAAGCATCTGCTGGGTGGACCACTGTGCAATTAGAATGCTGGACTAGATAGGCCAGTAGTCAGCAACCTTTTGGGAACATGGGCACATTTGAAAATCAGAAAAACTGTCATTTGAATACCAGAAAAGCTCCACACTGGTGACTGCTGAGATAGGCCTCTGGTCTGGTCCAACAGGGTTATTTTTGTGTTTGCAGTACCCTATGTTCCTCATCAGCTTTGGTGCATAAAATGATAGGCTGTGTGGTGGATGGTGCATTAGTGTTAATGCTCATGTGTTGACCCCAATATGTTTACCCGAGCCTGAGACGTTTTGCAGCTGTAGGCAAAATCCCCTGACACTGCCATTGTTCCCACGACACTACTCCATCATAGATCTGGGTCCCTCCTCTCTGCTCC